CTTTGTACTTTACATTGTCCTTATTCTCCCCTTCTTTCTTTACTCTTATTTTTTTCAGTGTACTTTATATATAGAGGATTAAATTTTTTTTTTTTAAAGATTTTATTTATTTATTGAGAGAGAGTGAGAGTGAGTGAACATAAGCAGCACGGGAGCATCAGAGGGAGAGGGAGAAGCAGGCTTCCCGCGTAGCAGGGAGCCCGATGCGGGGCTCGATCCCAGGACCCTGGGATCATGACCTGAGCCAAAGGCAGACGCTTAAGGACTGAGCCACCCAGGCGCCCTCACAGCCTCCTTCTTGAGGAAAACTGCTACCACCCAGGTCCTCAGCTTTTGGATATAGGGATAGATACCAAACACAAAATAACCGAATCCATTGGCTGCAAACCACTGAATGAGGGAAACTGAGCCAATCAGTGTCTTCTCCTGGGGATTTAGGAATTAGGTCATTGTGGTAGGCACCCTCTAAGAGGACCTCTATTATTCCCCACCTCTTGAGTGTGGGCTGGACACAGTGACTCCCTTCTAATGAACAGAATATGGCAAAAGTGATGGGATTAAATCTGACCAAACAGGCAAAAGACCTGTATAAACACTGCTGAAAAAAACTGAAGAAGACATAAATGGAAAGACATCTTGTGTACACGGATTGGAAGACTTAATATTGTTAAGAAGACCATACTACCCAGGGGCGCTTGGGTGCCTCAGCTGGTTAAGCGGCTGCCTTTGGCTCAGGTCGTGATCCTGGGGTCCTGGGATTGAGCCCCGCACTGGGCTCCCGGCTCAGCAGGGAGTCTGCTTCTCCCTTTCCTCTCTCTCTCTCTGCCCCACCTTCTCATGCTCTCTCTCTCTCTCAAATAAATAAAATCTTTAAAAAAAAAAAAGACAATACTACCCAAAGTGATCTACAGAGTCAATGCTATTCTTATCAAAATCTCCATGACAGTTTTTTGCAGAAAAAGAAAAACCCATTCTAAAATTCATATGGAATCTTAAGTGACCCCAAACAGCCACAACAATCTTAAAAAGGAAGAACAAAGTTGCATACTTCCTGATTTCAAAATTTACTACAATGTTACAGCAATCAAAACAACATTGTACTGGCATAAGAAGAGACATGTAGATGAATGAAAGACCAAGCCTAGAAATATACCCTCACAAACATGGTCAAATATTTTCAAAAAGTGTGTTAAGACCAAAAGACAGTCTTTGGCAAATGGTGCAGGGAAAACTGGATACTCACATCAGGATGAAGTTGGACCTTTATCTTACCTCATATATAAAAATTCACTCAAAAAATAAAAAAGTAACTAAAAATTAACTCAAAATGGACTGAAGACCTAAATATAAGAAATAAGATGATTTTTATTTTTTTTTTTATTTACTTTTTTTAAGTACGCTCCATGCCCAGCGTGGGGCCCAACGTGGGGCCCAACGTGGGACTTGAACTAATGACCCTGAGAGCAAGACCTGCGCTGAGATTAAGAGTCAGGACCCTTAACCGACTGAGCCACCCAGGCTATTTTTAAAAATAGTCATGCTAGTGGGTGTGAGGTGGCAACTCACACACAGGAATGAACAGGAATGAACCATTTTCTCATCACCCTTGCCAACCCTGGTCATTTAACTTTTTAAGTTTGGCTCAGAAGAATGAGGCAGATTTTGATTATAATTATTATTATTGAAAGGCTGACTATCTGTTCAAATGCTTCCATTATTTATTCATTGAATATTTACTGAGTATCTACTATGTGCCAAGGACTGGACCTGGTACTGGGTGTATGGGGGAATAAAATATGGCATGTTTCTGCACTGAAGGCACCAAGAGTCCAGTGAAGTGATTTACATACTTTACACAGAAGACTGACTCATCATCCCCAAAGATTTTGAGTGAACACATGTAGAGACAAGCGTAGGAATCAAGGTTATATTTTTTAAGTGTTTCAAAAATCATTTCAAGCAATTCTTCTATAAATGGCACAGAAGACAGAGTAACTGTTATACAAGTGTGTCTACTGGACATTCATATTTCTCTTTTTGAGTTTCTTGTTCTTTCCTTTGCTTTCCTTTCACTGTCTTATTCCTAATATTAAGGGGATCCTGGAAATATCTGGCAATTGTGATGCCTGCTGTTGGTTTCTAATATCTCAAGTTAAGGAATTAATTTCTATTCTTAACTTACTAAGAATTTATAAAGAATGATGTGACTATTATTCAGCATCTACTAAACTCTAATGTGCAGCTAAGAGTGTTTCAGTTGTTTTTCTCAGACTTTCTTCTGGTTAAGAGGAAGGGAGGACTGCTTACATTTGATTCCTGACTCTGATACTTTGTTTGTATGACTTCAGGAAAGTTATTCAATATCCCTGTGCCTCAGACTGCTTATCTATACTATAAAAAATAATAACATCGCCTACCTCCTAGAATTTTGTGGAAATAATGGGCAATATATGAAAATCGCATAGTGCAGTGTAAGATGCATAATCACTATTCAATGTTAGCTATTATTTTTGTCTTTAACTCTAAAGGATGATTAAATTATCTGAAATCCATTATAAATTTATATTTCCCTTTGCCATCATTTTTTTTCTGTTGTTTTTTTTTGTTTTTTTACATTGGCTTTACCTTCCAGAATTGCTGACTTTAAAGGAAAGAGGATGTTGTTAAATTATGATGTTGGTTATGGACATGACATACAAAGATGATGTCTCCTATTCCTTTTCATTTTTAAAGATTTTACAGAAATATGGGTTGAATTTTGTAAAGTGGTTTTTATTTTTTATTTAGCTGGATTTCTAGCATAAAACCTATTACTTGTGGTGAATTAAACTTTATAATTTTCATATATTTTTCAATTTTCTAAGTTTTCACTTGAGATAGCTGTACATAAGCTTACAAGTGAGACTACAGTTCAAGTTTTTTGTTAGATTTATTAGAGGAAGTAAACTGGCATTTATAATAATGTTCCTAGTTAAGTTATTTATGGGGCGTTTTGTATTTTTCTGCTTTGGAACCAAATATGCCCTTGCATGAGCACAAATAATGTATAATGCCCCATAATTGACAGCTATTCATCAAGCCTTATAAAGACAGACACCTAATAACTGCTTTCTGATAATAATGAAAGTAAGAATGTGGCTCACACATATTCAGATTAAAAAATCTTATGGTGGGGGCGCCTGGGTGGCTCAGTCATTAAGCGTCTGCCTTTGGCTCAGGTCATGAACCCAGGGTCCTGAGGTCGAGCCCCACATCGGGCTCCCTGCTCAGTGGGAAGCCTGCTTCTTCCTCTCCCACTCCCCCTGCTTGTGTTCCTTCTCTCACTCTGTCTCTCTCTGTCAAATAAATAAAATCTTTAAAAAATAAAAAAACAAAAAATAAATAAATAAAAATTCTTACGGTAAAGAGCTAAACATCTTACCTCACTAAGTTCATGTTGCCTTTGCATCTTCTTTTCAAAAGTAGATTTCAGCTGTGTAAGCAATTCATACTAATAGATAAAATAAAAATGTTATTTTATTATATTTTTAAATTGTATGGATTTCTTCAAAATGATAACTAACTCACCTTATCTAAAACAGTTTGCCTTTTGGCTTCCAAGCTGGGCTCTAAAAGGAGATTTTTTCCTGTAAGATAAATTTCTGGTTTATTTCTAGATAAACATCATATTTTTCTTAGGAAATTTAAGAAGTAAGGAAAGACATACTTGCTAGCTCTTCAATACTTTTTACTAAGTCATCCTTGTCAGTAATAATCTGTTTTAGTTGGGGCAAAGTCAGAAACTGTTCTAGTAATATCTCCTCTTGTTCATTCATATCTGTAAGCTGTGACACACTAGAAACACAACAGAAAAGTTAATGAATATCAGTCACTAATTTTTCTCCATGATGATATTCAGGTTTTCCATTTTATTCAGTTGATATGGCTCTAAATAATTTTTGAACTATCATTTATATATCTATATCTATATATACACACACACATACATAAGGAGGCAAATTATAACCTTAAAAGCAATAAAACATCAACCACAGTGGAACATAAAGTGGTCTGAAAGTAGCATCCAATCACGATAGGATTATGAAGACTAGGGTTCATGAACAATCACAACAATGTTAACCTCTGTGTCTACTTAGCTAATAGGTGTGTGGCTGTCACAATAAAAGGTACATATATGGATATGTGTGTGTACAGATAGTCATAAAATATTTAAGGAAAAGCAATCATGGAGGGCTAAACCAAAACCAAAAATCAATATCCACAGGGTGAAAGAGGAAACTGGATGGGTGGGATAGAAATGGAAGCTAAACCTTACTGAACATATCTATTAGTTTTGACTTCCGATCCATACAAAAGCATCATATGTTTAAAAAAATTTAATTAAAAAAAAAGCAGTCTCTAAAATTCAGAGAAAATGGAAATAAACAAGCACTGGTTTTTTTCTAAGTTACATATCCTCCAGAGAAGTAGTATTCAGACTTTAAAAAACAGTATTTGACTGTACATGTCAGGTGTGACAGAACCAAAACACAAAAGAAATATAAAAAACAAAACAAAAACAAACGCTTATCTTGAATTCAATAATCATAGCAATAATATTGATATTGTAATTTTGAAAAAGAACAAGTGTCTTTCAGAGAAATGACTTTAGGCCAGGGAAAAGAAATTTCACGATGGCATCTTTGTTTTGTCAGAAAGGCTATAGAAGCCAATGTGAAGAGTTTGTTAGGGACTCAAGATAGAACTGTTTAAGCATCAAGAAGAATAATGACTGCAATATACTGAAACACATCAAATATATTTTTTAAAAAATTTATGAGTTCTTAACAACACAGAAACAACTATAAAAGTAAACACAGAAAACCTTGCCTATCAAAAACTTTGGAGCTTGTTTGTGCATCAACTCATTATTCTGAAAACTGAAAAACAAAAAACAAAAAACAAGGATTTATCTTTCCATTCCTATATGAAGTGTATTTCAATAAAACTAAATAGTTGATACAAAAGTTCTTTTCACAGAATTCTGGTTAATTCCGGCAGTAATAATCACATTTGCAATCCTTAATGAAATAATGGATAGCCAATGATTTCAGGGGTTTCATCTGTTTCAATCTTAATGTCACTAAAAATAGGGCAACCAGACATCACTGTTGCCTTATGTGATGTAATAAGTATGCACTAATTACAATGTAAGTATTCTTGACCAAAGAATTGAACCTATTTTTTTTTCAGCATTGAGATATAATTGACATATAACACATAACATCGTGTAGGTTTACGGTGTGCAGCTCAATGATTCGATAAAACTGAACCTAACTCTAATTAAAACTCTAGATCTAGCCACCAAGAGAAAGAAATATAGGAAAGAGAAGAACATCTTCAATGGTACTACAAGGATGCAATCAGGCAAAAACAGGATATAGAAAATTCTCCAAGACAACCATTTTCCTCAGTAAATGTGTAAATATATAGTGTGCATAATATAACATGTATAATAGTATAATGTGACATTTTCATAATAATTTTTTTTTAAAAGAAGGAAGGAATAAAAAAAAGAATCCTTTATAACACTGAACAATAATAGTACCTACTTTCTGGGGTTGCTGCAAGCATAACATGTATGTGATATATTGTAAACCTTCATTGACTATTATTAGAAAATAATGAATCACTACTTCCTAAAAATGATTATAAAACACTGGGTCAATTAAGGTAAATTTTTTTTTTTTTTAACTGTAGGATTTCTCATAGGTATTTGGCTGTATATCCCTGGTGGGATATATCCCAGAGACAAGAATTACAAAAAAAATTTTTTAATTATACTCAGAAGTCTTAGTAAAAATAGCCTTATGAGTATTATAAACCTTCAATGGGGTATAAAGGATGCAATGCTTCCCAAAGTTGAGTGGCCATAAAACAATTTTTTCATGAAGCAACTTAGAGAAGCAGTGTTCTACGAAACACAGTACTTTAATACTACAGACTTCTGTGTCATCAGTTTGAATACAATTTGGCTCTGTAAAAACACTGTGATTTTTCTTTATGAGAACGTTAATGTGTTCCTCTATGTACAAAGTTCTACCTACAAAAGGATAAATGAAAAAGTCTAAAATAAGCCAAAAAATATTTGAAATCACCAGGGATGATGTATTGAGAAATAATTTTCACAATAATGTAAGCCTCAAGAGAGAACAACATTGTTATCCTGGTAACTATTATATCATTTCCAGCATCTAGAAAAATTCCTAGGTACATACTCACTCAATAAATACAAACTACAAGACAGAAAGCTGATTTGTATAACTAAAACAGCCACAGTATAAAATAGTGAGGATTTAAAAAACCATTTTCTTTAATACAGGTATGAAAATGATGATCTGGTTTGTATTTATCATTGTCAAAGAGATAATGAATACTGACATTACTCTCCAAGTTTTTTACCTTAGTTCTGAGAGTTCTGGAAATGTATCAGGGATATCTGGCATCTTGTAACCAAAACCATCTTGGCTTATCTAAAGAGAAGTATGAAATGGTAATTAAGTTTTAGCCATCTTTTTGACTGCTCCTATTTACTTATAAATGTAATTTTTAATGTACTACATCCCATGTTTCATTATCACCTTCATCTTTGTACTTTACATTGTCCTTATTCTCCCCTTCTTTCTTTACTCTTATTTTTTTCAGTGTACTTTATATATAGAGGATTAAATTTTTTTTTTTTGGGGGGGGTGAGGATCATCTGAGTACCTGTGTTAACCTCTTTCTTGGGCAAGTATATATTAAATAAAACGCTTAAGTGTATCTGTGACTAATGTAGAGAATCATCTGTGGATTTCATTGATATATATGAATACATTTGCCTCAAATAAAAGATACTGAATATAAAAAAAATGTAGTAAGTTGCAAAAGTCTGAATAGTTACATAACTAAGTCTGACAAGACAGTAGGGTAGATAAGGAATAGGTAATCCATTGTTTTATAAACGACTTTTTAAAACAGAGGATCCTTGAAAACATCTCTTGTAACTTTGCTTATCCTACTAATTGTAATTAATATTGTTCATGATATTCACAATATTTATTCATAATATTTCTTACTAAAATGATGAAAGGTATTAGAAAAACAAACACCACTTGGGCCTAATCTAAATTATTACAAACACTAAAATTAGTAAAGTTGGATATAATAAGGTTTATAATATTTGAGTATTACTGTGGGTGATACTCACTTAAGGTTAAAATGGAGGTTTTAAAATCATTTTATGTTTTATTCATAAAGTAGTAGTCTCTCAGTAACATCCCACATGGCAATAGTTACCAGTTTATTTAAGAACATACAATTTTTTTTAAAACCAATGAGACACTTGAAGCCCTTGGCATGGTAGAAAGCAGATCCTCCACAATCTGATACCTACTTCTCTTACGTGATCACTTTTTGTGCCTCTGCCTATTTCCTATACGACAGTCAGAGAGATCTATTAAAGGCAGTTTCACAAAAAATGCGATTTGGTTTACGTTTCTGCGACTTTGTCAATACTATTGCCTCTTTATGGAAAGCTTTATATAACCCTTTTCATCCTGACAAATTCATTACCACCTATCAAAATCTGGCCTTAAACATAAACAAATAAATTAATTTATCTGCCTCATTTTAAGTGAGCACCTACTGTATGTATCAGGTGTGCTCTGAGGCACTAAGGATAAAGTGGTGAAAAAGCAGAGACACATTTTTTATAAAAGCATCCCTTCTAGGTCTACCTCAGTTCCTGAGAGCACTGACTGTTTCCTCAACTGTCTTCACCATGAACTCTAGACTCTCTCTTCTACTCCACTGGAAATTATTCTTACTTGTAATTATTTGATAATTTGCTGGTCTCCTCTGAGTTTGTTACTTGAGTTGAAAATGTGATTTAATCTTTTTATCTTTTGTGCCTTACTTAGTGGCTGGCACAAGAAGGCAGATAATAAATATTTGTCAATTGGATGAGTTTTCAAGGATATAAAAATACAGAAAACTGAAGATACCCACCGGTGCTGAAGTGTCTGTTGTAGGAACAGGTAACGGCAGATTTGAAAGGACACCGAAAGAAGGAGCAGCGGGTTTGGCTGGTGTGTAACTTGTTGTTGAAGAAGAAATAGTGTCGGCAACAGACAAAGAAGTGATAGTCCTGTTAGCTTCTTGTGGGGGATATGGAGGAAGAAATGGGAAACCCTGAGATGCATAAGGAGGCATCCCACCTGGATTACTGTAGAGGCTAAAGAAAAAGACAGAAAAAAACATTAGACTTTAGGGGTAAACCTATAAAATTATTCCCAAATGGTTCTAAATAACAATGGTCATGACAAAGAGACAGAATCTTGTTATTATAATCATATAATTGAATTAAATATTCTACAAATTGATAATGACCCCACTCCCCCCAAATAGAAGTGTGGTTTCCATGAAAAAAGAAAATATTTTAGAAAACATGTAATTCAACTAGTCAGAGTAGAAGTGAATAGACAGGCTCTTTTTGAGTTTTGAGCATTCCATTAGCATCAATCACTGTCTTCATAAAGAGAACGGAGAACATTTAACCCAGAAAATGTATTCAAGACAGGTTGTTTAAATAGTAGCTCTCACTTTATCTGGAAAAATATAAGTGAAAGTCATGACTGCGTTTCTAAAAGATTTTAAAGGAAAATACTTAAATGTATAGAAGAACTGCTAAAAATGTTAAAATATAAAAAAGTACATATAAAAAAACAAGTATATAGATTAGAAAAAGTTGTACAGCAGCATGTACTTGGGATTGAATTAGAGAGCAATATTTATTTTTTGCAGTGTAAAAATATCTGGGTCCTGGTTCAAGATGACAATCAAGCAAGACCTTGAAATCACCTCCTCCCATGAACATACTAAATCTGCAGGAATATGGAACAATTTCCTCAAGAAAAAAGCCCTAAAATTTAGTTGTACAACTCCTACAAATCAAGCAAATATGAAAAATCAATCTTGAAGCAAGTAGGAAAGCCTGAGACGCAACCTCACTGTAAACCGAAACCTCAACACAGAGACCTATAATCAGGAGAAAATGCAAAACCTGAAGCTTCTTCCTGAAGAGCAAGAGTTTGAACCCCACACTGAGCAGTCCATCTTTTAAGCCCTGCATCTCAAAGAACAGCCCCCAAAACATCTAGCTTTGGAAACCAAAGGACCTACCCCAGGACCCAGCACAGAAGCAGTCGATTGAGAGGCACCCAGATTTTAGGTGTAAGGGTCTCATTTCCTAATCTTAAAGTGTCCGCTTGAGGGACAGGTACCTAATTTAACCCCCATCCAGGGACCCCCTGGGATTTGCTCTAGGGACAAAGGGTGGTAGGTGCTCTCTTCATGTTCTCCCTGTCACAGTCCAGAGCACCAATATCTCTTGGAAGGAAGCTCTCTTGCACATATGGTGCTTAGTTTTTATGTCTGGTGCCCCAGTTTTGGTGGCTGCCATCCACAAGATACCCATTGATTGCATGGCTCTGGAGGCTGAGGGCTTGCATTCCTGGGTCCCATGCGACTGTAAAACAATAAGAGAGTCAGTTGTTGGCAGGCTACCACCCCCAGGGCGCTGCACAGACAGCAGATCGAACACACCCCTAAGTCTTCCTATGAAAGAGTCTAATAAACAGGTCTGAAAGCTTTGGCTTGATGAGAAGGCTTCTGGTTTGGCATACAACCAGGGGCTTACAGAGGCACTCCCAGGAAACGTAGGTTAGTGGATGCCATCTCTGCACACTCCCTCAGTCTCACTCCAGCTCACAAGTATCTCCCAGAAAGAAGCTTATACAATCATCTGGGCCCCAATTTTGCAATTCTACCCAGGGACCAGACCTCCAGATCTCTGGTGGCCAGAACGGCTTACACTTGCAGCCCCACAGACTATATATATTTGCATACTTTAAAAGCTGCTACCTGAGGGTCTGGCTGAAGGTTTGGCTTCTATTCAGCCTGAATCCAGGTGCTGGCTGAGGTCTTCTCAGGTCCTGGTGCACCCTCAAATACTGGGAGCTATTAAAAATATAACAGGGTCCTGGGACAATACACGATTTTAGAGACAATCAAGAGGTAGGGCAGGACTGAATGATAAGGTTCATCTCCTGGTCCAGTCCTCAAGACTGGGAGAGGTGGCTGCTTCATCTTATGCATAGAAACCAACATAGTCAAGGAAAATGAAGAAGAAGACAAATACGTTCCAAACAAACAAAAACCTCAGGGGGGAAAATGTAATAAAATGGAAATAAGTAATTTACCTGATAAGAGTTCAAAGTATTATACACTTAATGAACTTGGGGGAAGAATGAATGAACAAACACAGTAAGAACTTCAACAAAGAGATAAAAAATTTAAGTACCAAACAGAAGTCACAGAGGTTAAAAAAAAAAATACACTAGAAGATTTCAAAAGCAGACTAAATGAAGCAGAAGAAATGAGGAGTATACTCAAAAGTAGGGCAGAGAAACTCACCCAATCAGAGCAGCAAAAAGAAAAAAAAAGATGCTCCCTGATTTGAAAGTATATTACAATGTTATAGTAGTCAAAACAGAATATTATTGGCATAAAACTATATACAAATAGATCGATGGAACTGAATACAGAACCCAGAAATAAACCTATGCATATATTGTAGCCAAGAATATACAATGGGGAAAGGATAGGCTCTTCAATAAACAGTACTGGGGAAAATGGATGGCCACATGCAAAAGAATGAAATTACCATTTCTTTACATCATATACAAAAATTAATTCAAAGTGGATTAAAGACTTAAATTTAAGACCAGAAACCATTAAACTCTCAGAAGAAAACACAAGGAGTAAGATTCTTGAAATTGGTCTTGGTGATGATTTTTTTGCATCTGATACCAATAGCAAAGGCAACAAAAGCAAATAAACAAGTGGGACTCTATCAAACTAAAAAACTTCTGCACAGCAAAGGAAACTATCCACAAAACAAAAAGGCACCTTACTAAATGGGAGAAGATATTTGCAAATAATATATCTGATAATCAGGAGTTAGTATCCAAACTATGTAAAGAAATCCTATAATAGCAAAACACAATCCAGTTAAAAAATGGGCAGGGAATATTAATAAATATTTTTTACAAGATAACATACAGATGGCCAAGAGATACATAAAAAGATGTGCAACATCACTAATCATCATGAAAACGCAGATCAAAACCACAATGAATTATCACCTGACACCTGTTAGAATAGCCATCACTAAGAAGACAAGAAATAAGTGTTGTGGAGGATGTGGAGAACAGGAAACCCTTGTGTACTCTTGGTGGGAATATAAATTGGTGCAGCCACTATGGAAAATAGTATGGAGGGTCCTCAAAAAAATCAAAAATAGAATTACCATATGATCCAGCAATTCTACTTCTGGAGATTTATCCAAAAAACTGAAAACAGTAATTCAAAAAAATTAATGGTGACTCTGTCTGGGCTCCTATGTAGTCTCAGGATAGGGTAGTCACTAGAAAGACACACCGACGAAGGGCTGGAACTATTAGCTGCACCCACCAACCTCAGGGAATGAGGGGCTGCAAACTAAGTTCTATGAAAACTCTTGAACAATGAGGTCTGACAAACTTCCTTGTTGGTGAATGCATCCACATGGTGGGAGGATGGTGCACCCCGGCCCACGGGGACAGAAGCGCCTGCATTCGGGGCTCTTCCAGTCCTTGCCCTGTGCATTGCTTCACATGGCTATTCATCTGTATCCTTCATAATGCCCCTTTATAATAAACTGGTAAACATAAGTAAATATTTCTCTAAGTTTTGTGAGCAGCTCCAACATATTAATGGAACCTGAGGGGAGGCATCATGGGAACCTCTGATTTTACAGTCAGTTGGTCAGAAGCACGTGAACAACCTGTGGATTTGACTGGTGTTTAAAGTGGAGCAGTCTTCTGAGACTGAGCCTTTAACTTGTGGGATCTGTCACTACCTTCAGATAGAGAGCATCAGAATTGAATTATATCTATAGGAAACCCGGTCACTGTCTGCTGAGAACTGGAGAATTACTTGGTGGTGTGGAAAACACACATATCAGAGTACTGAAATATGTTCCAAAATATATAAAGCTTGAACAATTTTTAAACTGGAGTATTATTATTTTATTTAATTACATAGATTTACATAAGTTGAAATTATGTTGGAAAACAATTTTATGGATTTTGAAACTAAAGTTCATATGGAAAATTATAGAAAGAAAAGTATCTGATGGAGGGTTAAGAAGAGAATAACTGTGCCATCTGGTAAAACAAATTACAAAACCTTTATAATTTAAAAAAAAAAAAGAAAAGCAACTTTTTTTTAGAGCAAATAGTGGTAAATGGATATGCAGATCAATGGAACTGAATATAAAATCCAGAAAAAGCCCGAAACACATAAGGGAATAAGGATGTAAGACAGATGTGAAATAAATGGAAAAAAAGATCAGTCAATAAACAGTGTTGGGACGGCTGGAAAAAAATGAATTGGAGACAGATCATTATATTCATAACATGATAAAAACCAAATTCACCAAAGATTTAAATGCTTCCAACTAAATCTTACAAGAACTAGCCGAAATCATTGGGAAATAATTACTGTGGGGTGGGAAAGGACTTTCTGTGATCCCAAATTCCAAAGTCATAAGAGAAAATGATTAATTGCTTGACATTAAGAAAGAACAAAAACAAAAACCTATATGACAAAGCCCATTATAAATAAGACAAATAAACTGGGGGAAAACATTTAAAACTCGTATCACAGACACAGGGGTAATTTCTCTAATACATAAAAAGTTCCTACAAATTGATAAAAAGACTAACAACTCAATAGCAAAATGAAAAACAGGATAGAAGACTCAGGTTACAGAAAAATAAAGAAAAACAACTCCAAATCATAGGAAAAGATACTCAACTTCATTGTCAGTAAGATAAATACAACTAAAATTATACTAACATATCATGTTCTACTTATAAATTGGCAAAGATCCATTCCAATAATATACTGTATCGGCAAAGAATATGGGAAAGTAAGCATTGTGCATAGTGGTAGAAATTGGTGCAACTTACTCTGTAGGGCAATTTTGCAGTATTTGTCAAAACTACAAATGTGCATGCCACTATGAGAATGTATCTAAGAAATATATTCACATTTGGCTAGAATATTATTTTTAAGGTTATTTGCTGCAGTGCTGAGGGTAAAGAAAGGTGGGCCTTTTAGGAAAGAGTGGAAACAACAAAAATATCCATCAGCACGAGTCCTGTTAAATAAATTACACTACATCTATAAAACAAGTACTTTGTGGTCATAAAGAAGAATAAGGAAATGCTTTATGTACCAAAATGGAAAACTATTCAAACTATACCATTTAGTGTAAAAAAAAGGGGGGGAGGGGAATGGTATGTTACAGTTTGTGTAAAAAAGGAGGAATAAAATACTCCATGTACATATTTCTTTGTAAGTCATAAAACATCTTGGAAATTCTATGCATATTCACCCAAATGAAAAACTCTGGATACAAGCAAGAAGAAAAACTAGGTTGTAAGGGAGAAGACAGTGGAAGGAAGACTTTTTACTCCATATCCCTTTATATTTTTTGAATTTTGATTCAAGTAAATATATGATCACTGAAAAAATTAAGTTAAAATAAGTTTTCCAGTTTAGCTTACTTATTTAAAAAAATAGCTCATCTTTATGTTAAAAAATTAAAACTTTTATCTAAAGGTATGTCAGTGACATAAATATAAATATAACAAGTTATTTGGAAACAATATGACCAACATGAGAGAGTATTTGTATTATAAGTCTTTATTGTGAAGCAATTTTTATTTTGACCTCAGTAGCAGATACAACCTATTAAATAATCTAAGGAATGCATCAAACCTGCATTTTAATAACCTGCACTTTATCACAGAACTTATTTGAAATGAGAATAAGTAAACTTACTGGCTTTTATTTTCAAATAAGGTGAATGAACTTTTATCCAACCCTGCCCTGACAGAAAAACAGGATATACAGTTTTTAGATGAAGGATATTAGGAGGCTTATAACTCCAGTACAAAGACACAAGAGAGGAAAGATGAAGGCTGGGGCTGATGCACCTAATGACCTGGATAATCTAGCTAAGCAGATTTTCAGGCAGTGTTCAAAATGCTGCCTGACTCCTGAGCAAGAGCAACTTCTTGGAAATTAAGTAGGAGGACTAGGATATAAAGCCAAGAAGTATTCTGAGAAAAGGAAATAAAAAGACCAACAAGAAGCTGCATCATCATTAAATTTCAGAATACCAAAAATTTTTTCTAAAATTTACAAAGGATCAGAAATCAAAATGGCATTGGACACTTTGCAATAGAAGCCATATAGACAATATAGCAACACCTTCAAAATTCTGAGTAGAAAAGCACTTCGACTTAGATGCTAATGCAAAAAGTGGAACAAAAACAAGTTATCTCCAGTAGTCCCTAACCAAACTGCAGATTCACAAGGAAAATACATGTCGTCAAGGTCAGATGACATGAAAAAACAATCTGAAAGGTATTTTTCAGAGCTGCTAAAAGATGTGGAAATTAAAAAGATAAAACCACCAATGGAAAAATGGAAGTAATTATTAACTCCAGAAAAAGCAAAAAATTATACCGTAAAGGAAATGTAATCATGACAAAGTCCTTGATTCAGCAATGGGGAATATTTACAGAATCGAAGTGATGAAAATACCAAAAATGAATTTAAGTAAAGATCATGATATCAATCACTGAGAGAATGAGGGGAAAGGAACATTTATGAAAGATAACGATAACTAAACTCCTCATCAATCATAACAGGAGGTTGAAATATAATACCTAAAATTAAAGAACCAAGACTATGTATATATTATGTTTAAATTATTCAGAAAGATGAAGGTAAATATTGGAAAAGCAACTGAAAAAGAAAATACAGCTGCCTCTGAAAAGTATGAGTGTATCTGTATGAAGGTAGGAATGTGGAATGAAGAGAACTGCCTTTTAACATCATTTGAAAATTTAAACTCTATTATGATTACTTTGATAAAAAGAAGTAAAAATAAATTTATACAAATATTTTTTGGGGTATAAATATACTTACTACGGAAATGCTGTTGAAGAAGGAGCTAAAACTGGAGGATTCTTCCAAAACTCATCCAACAGACTCTGAATAATTTTTCCAAGATCTGAGTGCATTGTAAACTAAAAGTAAGAATAATACAGGATGATCAAAATCACTTTCAGAATAAGTCTTACTAGGATCATGTCACTGTAAAACTTAATCTTAAATCTACTTCTGCACATCAAGAATTAAATGAAAAACAAAGGATACTGTGCCAAATGACAAGATTAGCAATCTACAACTTAAAATATTTTTCTATAGACTCAATACCATAAATCAGTTAAAAATCTATTTAACCAATAATGGAGCTAAAATATTTCCACATTTAAAAAAATAATTTGAGGGGTGCCTGGGTGGCTCAGTCGTTAGGCGTCTGCCTTTGGCTCAGGTCAAGATCCCAGGGTCCTGGGATCGAACCCCACATCAGGCTCCCTGCTTGGCGGGGGACCTGCTTCTCCCTCTCCCACTCCCCCTGCATGTGTTCCTGCTCTCACTCTCTCTCTGTCAAATAAATAAATAAATCTAAAAAAAATAGTAATAATTTGAAGGTTCTAAGGTAAATACTGAGAATACATTTAAGTTATAGTGCTTCAACCTTCATAGTAATCAATCATTTATGTATCCTAAGAACTTTAAGGCATATTTGAATTTTATCCCCTCCTAACAACTATGGAAAATATACTGTGAACCAAAGTTCTAACATCAACAGGTCCTCATCACAGAAAAACAAATAACCTTCAAATCAGTATTATCTATTGGATATAGTGACCTTTTTTTTGGGAAAATTACTTATTCCAAATGAGATTTCAAATGCATTTTAGATTTCTAAAATATGCAGTAATAAAGTAATACACCTGTTATACTACTTTGAAATAAATTATACTATATACATACATTGTTTACTAATGGAGAGGTAACATATACCCCTTGTTTATCCATTAAGTGATGTCGTATTGGTGGATAAACACTGATCACTGGTTTTTCCTGAGGAAACTGTGGAGGGAGCAATCTGTTAAATGTAGAACAGATGGAAAAAACACAAGTGTTATATAGTCATAATTCTAAAACAAAGTTAAAAGCAAATTAAATTTTCATGCTTTCATTTAGAGTAATTATTCACAGTAGTAAGTGCTCTGTTATGGTTGTTGATCGAAAATACACAAAAGGATATACTTTAGCAACAAGATTATAAAGCAATTCAATTCAGTAAAACTTTACTATAGAATATGGATACCCTGAGTTATAAGATATTCTTCACACCATGTCAGTTAATTGCTTTCAAACACAATATACTAAGCTATGTAAAATCTCAGATAAAATCAGATCAGGTATTTGTAACAGGTGACCCATAGTAACCAGTCTGACTATTGGACCACAGGTTCTGGCCATATAATTTTCTTGTGGTTTTCCTACTTATGAAATGCTGCCAAGAATTATTACACCATCTATTGAATTTTTGAAGTGTGTAGATAAAAGCAAAAGCACTATGATTAAAACATTGTAGCTGTCATTATGCCTTGGTTCTATAAGGCTCTAATGGTCCCCATTAACACAACTCTCCCAAGTCTGTCAATCACATAGTTTCAAGTAAAGAACAGTAAATTCTCAATACAAGAAGAAAAAAAAAGAGGTGAAAATCTTAACCTTTATGAACTACCACAAATTTAAAATTCAGGATTGAAGTCTTAAATGGATCTTACTGGATATGGAACTCTGATTTCTAAATCTCTCTTAACTCAGAAGAATATGACCCTTTAAAACTATCTCTCTGTTCCCGTTGGCTCTGAAAACGATTTGTTTGGCAGCACTGTCATGAAGAGAACTGGGTCTTTTTGGCTTCTCCTACTTAGCCCTACCTAGGGCATTTGATGGAGATAAAACTACTTCATTTATATAGCTAAAGATGTTAGCCTAGTTTGGTAAAAAAAAAACAATGATTGGCCTTTGGAGCCCAACCAATCTGGGTTTGTATCCTGACTATGCTATTCACTACGTGTGTGTCTGTAATTTACCCAATTTGTAGCCCTGCTGTGAGGATTCACAAAGCTCCTATATCAAGATAACACAGCATAATGCTTGGCACTATTATACATTCACACTTTCATTCACTTGTTCAACTAGGATTTAATAAGGCCTTCTCTGTGCAGGCATTATGCTAGACAATGAGAATATGAAGATGAATAAGCCATGGTTCCTGTCTTCAAGTTAGGTGCTTCTTATCTCACCCAAACACCTACTCTACACACAGCTACCTAATGCAATTTGAGGTAATAACTTAATACTTTCATGCTAAAGACTAATAATTACACTTAGAATTAAATGGGTACTTCCGCAATCACTTTGTCCAATCTTTCCTCTTAAATAACCTCCTGATTATAGTTTTTAACTTAATTTTTTTCTTTAATTAGTAGATCAAATTCAGCCCTGAACTTTCTGGTTGATACAGTATATCTGTTGCTGAAGACTAGAATATTTTCACTTGTTTCTAATGTAGGGGTAAATATATCTCTAATAGTTTTCCATACATGATCCCTTTGACTGTCATCATTTTCAGCCTTTCTTTTAGCCTACCTCCAACTAAGACTTCATGCAAATCAATAAAAACAATGACGGTACTAAATATTATTATTACATCTTTATATTGCATTTCTTCTTGTATAACAGCTTCTTTCTTACAGCAATACACTTTACCATGTCTTTAAAAAATTTTTGTTTCACGAAATTATGTGACTTTGATAATTTATAGTTACTAGAAAAATAATATTTTAAATATGTTCACTTTAAACAATTTACTTCTAATAACTAAGAAATAAAATAATGAAAAGATTTTTAAAAGTACTAGTACATAAAAATATAGGATACAATTCTACTCACATGTTAATATTAATTGTCAGGTTGTTTACGGTGAACGGCAACCTGTATTCCACATCTTTCTGTATTTCAGCTATACTGTAGGAGAAAATTTGAGAGAAAAAGTCACTTGAAGTTATAAAACCATTAATGTTAAAAAGAATGTTAAATGTTTTTAGAGCCTACTAAAACTATTAATTTTAATCACCCAATCTAGATAGCCAATATAACTTGTATCTTGAGGGAAAAATTATCATAGAGAGATTTATCAAATCAGGCAATAATATTCTGATATCCAAGTGCGTGTGTGTTGGGGGAAAGTGGTAGAGTGGGGATAGATGTTGAGGTAAAATGGCAAAGAAAAACTCTCGTATTAATGCTAGGTTGATTTACTATCACTTTACCTAATTCAACATTAGTAGAAGCAATTGTTATCCCTCTGGTTAATACAAGTCAGCAAGACATCTAGGTTCTGATTAGAACACTGCCACTACCCAGCTATATAGACAGCTAGGCAGGTCTGGGTCTTAATAAGTTAAACTTAAAAGCCTGGATGAGATGTCTCCTACAGTTTTATGACAGAGACTGCTGACTGCTTTTCAGAGACAAATAACCTCCCCTTCTTCCTCAGTAAGAAAAGTCTGATTCTACTCTGAGTAGCAATGACCTAGCCTTTTTTGCACCTAGCTGTTGCTATAGACTTACGTTCTAGCCAATAAGATAGATATAGGGAGGCTGTGGGATAGAATTACTAGGAAAGCAACTAGAAGGGGGCACAAAAAACTAGTATGAGTCCTCCTCTCCTGCCTCTACCTGATAGCTGCACTTCTAGCAGCCATCCTGGACCATGAGTGACCCTGAGAATGGAAGTCATACACTAGAGAGAGCTAAGCAGAAAGAAAGAAGCAGCCTGGGTCTTTAATGACTATGGAATTGTCAAACTGAATTTCCTTTCTGTCAGAGAAAAAAAGTTCTGTTTAACTCACTATTTTGGGAGTCTTGGCTAGTAGCAGCTGAATATAATTGCCAACTAACAGAATTTCCTTGTATTTTAACATTCTACATTTAGAATTTACTTTATTGTCAGTTGCAGGGATACATTAGTACAATTATAATCTAGCAACCAAATCTTTTGGGGGCTCACTTCAAATTCTAATGAACATTCACAATATTTCCAAAGGGAAAAATGTTAAGTAGTATTCCTGATTTAAGGTTGAGAAGAACTTTAATATTCAAAAAGACATGAAATTTTTTCAAGCATGAATACTGTTGGAAGATCTAGTGTTTACATAATAATTAACTTTTCGTTCTTTTGGTTGCTTCAACTACTGCTCTGTACTGACATCCCATGGAATGGGGTTAGTATGGAGATGAAGAAACAGCTGAGAACAGACTCAAAAAGATACTCAATATTAGGACTTCCATAGTTTTACAGAAGTTTTCTTTGGGGTTCAGTTTTGGACTAGAATACTGACAACCTCCTCAGTTGTAGGAACACCATATAATCAATTAAATGGCTTAAGGTTTCTATTCCTTTATATTATTTTAGGACTCTAAGGTGTAACTGTTTCACGGGAATACTGGTCACACATGCAACCATCAGTTCTAAGCTAAATAGAACATCTTCATGATTAAAAGAATTTTATGACCTCCTAAGTCAGACTTCCTGGGTTCAAATTCTCCCTCTAAGCCATTTACTTATGTGATCATATATGCAAATTACTTAACCTAAGCCTTATCTCTCAAATGGAAAACAGGGATGTTAACAATAGCTATCTACCTAAAACAATTGTTAAGATTAAATGAGAGAATACTTGTAAAGCCCTCCGCAAAATGCCATAATAATTGTTCAATACATGTTAGCTATTATCAAAAATGCATTTTGAACATGCATCTAAGTTGGAGCCTGTCTAAATTTGTAGTACCAAAGTTTTAACTCAGTTTTTTAGTGTATTTTTATAGAAAACAAAGTGAATTCGACTAAAATAATTTTTACTTAAATCATTGTCTAGAAGTGGTTTCATTGTCTCTACAATTAGAGTGTTGACATTTATTAGGTTTTGACAAGTTTCCTTCACAAATGAAGTATGATAAATAACTGAAAGCAATACTTGCAGTATTAGTGAGAGGTAAACTCTCGTTAACAAATTCCAGTACAAGTTAGTCATGGCAATTGTTGGAGTCAGGCCATGCTACTGAAATATGAAGTGCAAAATATGGCACTTCAGCATCTTGAATACTTTCAGCTGAAGGAGTCTGAGAAAAGAGAAGCAGGAAGGTTACTCTAACCTCCTCCCCGCCTCATACTTCTTCCCTGAAACAAATCATAAAATCCTCATGTGAAATATGCCCTCCTCATACCAAGTAGCATCTTTACCTCAAAGACAAAGGGACACCAAGAAGAATAGTAAGAACCCTTGATCATTACAATTACCTTATATTCCTTAACCCATCATATTCTTCCATGACTGTACACTTTTCATCAAACCTAGCACAAAAAACTCAGGTCTAACTATTTCTTTGGATCTTTGCTTCCTTAAGTCATCCATCTCATGTAAAACTTACATTAAATAAGCTTGTATGGTTTTCTCCTGTTAATCTATCAGTTTACTTAATTAAAACAAAAACTAATCCCTGAATATTCGCAATGTGATTTTGAATTTTTTGCTATTTTAAAACTTTTATTTATTTTTTATTTTTATTTTTCGAAAATTTTACTTATTTATTTGACAGAGAGAGCAGGAGAGCAGAGGCAGGGGGAGCGGCAGAGAGAGAGGGAGAGGGAGAAGCAGGCTGGCTCCCCCCGCTGAGCAGGGAGCCTGATGTGGGGCTCGATCCCAGTACCCTGGGATCATGACCTGAGCCGAAGGCAGTCGCTTAACCACCTGAGCCACCCAGGTGCCCCTATTTTAAATAACTTTTAAAAAACTTATTCTAGGGGCGCCTGGGTAGCTCTGTTGGTTAAACACCCAACCCTTGATTTTTGCTCAGGTCATGATCTCAGGGTTGTGACATCCAGCCCCACATGGGGCTCCGCACTCATTGTAGAGCCTATTGGAGATTCTCTCCCTCTCCTTCTGCCCCTCAACCCCGCTCATGCATGCTCTCTCTAAATAAATAAATACATATATATATACATATATATATAATACTTTAAAAAAACACAACAACTTATCTAAAAATGATTTATTCCCATCGAGGGGGAAAAAAAACAAGCAATGAAGAAAAAGTCAAGTGACTAAAAAAGATCAATTCAAGATACTGATAGCATGCATTTCCCAGTGTTGGGTAAATCAAGGAATGTTTATAGGTGAACCTTGCAAATAAAGGATTCAGATGCTTCAATAAAGATGGTAGATCGAGATTAGACAACTTCCCTTCCCCACCTAAATCTCTAGGAAATATCGCAAAAGACTAAACAACCAAATCTGTAACAGTGCTGGAAAGCAAAGAGGAAGCAGACAAACTCTGAGGAACCTCTAAAAGATAAAAAAAAGATGGGAATAGACTTAAGGAAAAGGGTGATAAGGAAAAAAGGAAAGAAAAAGAAAGTAAACACAGGAACTAATGACAACCTAAAACATTAGATTAATGCAAAGTAGGAGCAGTTTGAAGGTCCTCGAAGCCCTTGAAGGAAGTCAATCCACACCAACAGTGTGGAAGGCTGGGCAGAAGCATTTCTCAGGGTAATGAATGGGAAGATGTGTGCAACAGCAGGTAGGATAGAGCACTCTCCTCTTTTCCCTGCTTGTTCCAAACCAACAGATGGCACTAGTATCTGTACCAGAAGAACACACTGGGTAGCCTTGAAAGGAGCAGAGACTTAGGAAGCTACTGACTTCCATGGAGCCTCTGTTTCCAGGAGACAACTATTAGCTTGTCCCATATTGGAACAAATCATTCTTTTTCATTTGTCACCAGAGGCAGACTATGATAAAGACTATGATAAAGCTAAATATCCACCAATAAATAGAGCTACATATCCACCAACAAGTTAACAAGGAATCTCAAACACAGAAATGAACACATCAAAGAAGTGTGAACAAAACAAAACCAAGCAAGGCAGCCACTAAACTCAAGCAGCCCAACACACAAAAACTTAAGCTAACAGAGTTAATTGAGAAGACTCTAAATTTGTGTAATTAATATCCTCAGAGAAACAAAATAGCACTTGAATTCACACACACAGTTGATATGAAAATGAAAAATTAAGACACTGGAAATTTAAAATAAATAGCTCAAATAAATGGTTTGGTGCTCTGTTTGGAAAATGTTTCATACTATATATTCTTTTCTTGGAGAATACTGATGCATTTTAGCATATTAAAGGCTTTGGGAAATTCTAAAGCACTTAATTTTTGTTTTTGTTTTTTTATCTGTTTGACATGGACCATGTATTTCACAGTATTCTTTGAACACTGTTGTGGGGAACACAGGATAATGAAACAGATGTGCAAAGGGCCATAGGAACAGAGAAGAAAGCACCTAACCTCAACAAGAGTGGTGGTGGGGTCTTCCAGGAAATAAAATAATATCTGAACTACATTTAAAAGTCAAGTAAGAGTCAACATGCAGGAAACAGAAATCAGCAAAATAAAGCAGACATTCTACACAGAAGAAACACCATGGGAAAAATTTCAGATATGAAATAACACTGGGTCTCTTAAAGTCTCCATATCCTTTGCCATTAAAAACTTGGGGTGGGAGGGATGGGGTGGCTGGGTGATAGACATTGGGGAGAGTATGTGCTATGGTGAGCGCTGTGAATTGTGTAAGACTGATAAATCACAGACCTGTACCTCTGAAACAAATCATACATTACATGTTAAAAAAAAAAAGATAGTAGGAAGGGAAAAATGAAGGGGGATATCAGAGGGGGAGACGAACCATGAGAAACTATGGACTCTGAGAAACAAACTGAGGGTTCTAGAGGGGAGGGGGTGGCAGGAGGTGGAGGGATGGGTTAGCCTGGTGATAGGTATTAAAGAGGGCACGTTCTGCATGGAGCACTGGGTGTTATATGCAAACAATGAATCACGGAACACTCCATCAAAAACTAATGATGTAATGTATGGTGATTAACATAACATAATAATAAC